CTCATTTGAAAAGACCCTGATGCTGGGGATGATTGAAGGCAGGAGGAGAAGGGGACGACAGAGGATGAGATGGCTGGATGGCATCACTAACTCAACGGACACCAGCTTGAGTAAGCTCTGGGAGTTGGTGATGGACAGGAAAACCTGGCATGCTGCATTCCAGGGAGTCACAAAGAGTCAGACACTACTAAGCGACTGAACTGAATTGAATGTATTATAGGTTAAGGTTATTGATGGTTTCTAGTTTCTTCTTTGTATTGTGTTTTCAAAAGAAAAAAAAAGGACATGCATAAGGAGTATAAAAATTGTTTCAAAAACCTCTACAAATGAGATGGCATACCACTGCTTGATTATCATGGAAGAGGATGACACAAGCAGAATCATTTCAGAACTCATGAGGAAGTTCACTTCTTATTTGTTGTTTATATTTACTGAACATTTAATTTTGAGAAATAACAATTGATCTTGCTTGCTATAAGTTCTTCCCTTGATCATTCTGTGTGTCAGAGAATGCTTATGAATCTAGTGTGTATCCAGCTCTATTTTTGTAAAGGATAATAGAAAAAGGATTTGAAATTATTTAAGGGTCTGCTGTGTTTGAAACTGCTGGCTTGGGTAGTCCCAGGACTGTGATAAACCCTGGCGTTTGTTTAATCTGTTCTCTACTAGCAGCTGACACACAGCATGCTCTGCTCTTTATATTTCCAACTTTTCTGAACCCTTTGATCAAACTCTGATGATGTAAAAAACAAAATAATAGGATCAGTGGCAGTGGCAGCTAAATGAGTTCAAGAAGTTGGTTAAAGCATTGTCACAGTGGAGAAAATCATTCCTTTCCTTCGAACTAGATCCAAATTCTGGATGGTATAGGAGAGAGAATTTAAGATTATTTTATCTATTCCTGGTACAAACTGGCTGCTGTAGCCCCACTGATAAATATCCAGTATGAACTCCATGTAGCCCACAACCCAGGAGTCATCTTGGCCAACATGTACTGGAATTTCTCCCTGTATCACGGGGGAAAAAGTGAAAAGTGTTAGTTGTTCAGTCGTGTTGAACTCTGCGATGCCATGGACTGTTGCTCACCAGGCTCCTCTATCCATGGAATTCTCCAGGCAAGAATACTGGAGTGGGGTGCCATTCTCTTCTCCAGAGGATCTTCCCAACCCAGGGATTGAACCCAGGTCTCCTGCGTTGCAGGCAGATTATTTACCACCATCTGAGCCACCAGGGAAGACTATCTATTAGAGAAGAAGATCATCTTTCTTTGTTTATGTGATTTGACTAGAGGTTTTTATAGTGTAAGTATACGCCACCTGTCCCTATTTAACCTTTGTTTTTGTAAGAATGCAGAGCAATAGAAACCCTGGATTTGATGCAAACTGGGGCTTCCCTGGTGGCTCAGAGGTAAAGAACTCACTGACCAATGCAGGAGACACAGAAGGCTCAGGTTCGATCCCTGGGTCGGGAAGATCTCCTGGAGAGAGGAATAGCGACCCACTGCATTATTCTTGCCTGGGAAATCCTATGGACAGAGGAGCCTGCTGGGCTATAGCCCATGGGTTTGCAAAGAGTCAGACACAACTGAGCGACTAAAAACAAAAACAAAACTGGTAGCTCTATAGAGATGTAGTGTGTAATAATTAAATTCATGGGTTTATTATGACCTAAATGTTTAAACTCTGGGGCCAACTACTCATTTTCATGGGGGTCACAAAGGGTAAGTGAAACAGTTTGTGGATTGTGTGTTTGCTTGTTTCATAAGTGGCCCCATCCTATATAGCTCACAGCCTGTCTCTTTTCCCAACAGTCAAGCATTCTGACCACCATTCCCATGGCTCAGAACACTATTGCTTAAGCTAAAGGCCAGTGCCTCGCCATTCATCTAAGAGACTCCAGACACAGATTTGTCTAACTCAGAAGCTCTCAATGAGGGCCAGGTTTGCTCCCTCTCTCCCGGGGGCCAATGACAAAGTCTGGAGATACTTTTGGTTGCCACAACTAGGGTGGGGGCACTGTCATCGAGTGGGTAAAGGTCAGGGATGCTGCCAAACACCTTGTGATGCACAGGACAGTTCTTCTCTCCCAACAACAAAGAATTATCTGGCCCTGGATGTCAATAGCGCCTAGATGAGAAACTTGCATCTAGGTCAACATTGAGCACTTGAGAAATGGTCCAATTGCTCTGAAGCTTATCCTCCTTGTGCATGTGTGTGCTAAGTCGCTTCAGTCGTGTCCGACTCTTTGTGACGCTATGGACTGTAGCCTGCCAGGCTCCTCTGTCCATGGGAACTCTCCAGGCAAGAGTGCTGGAGTGGATTGCCGTGCCCTCCTCCTGGGGATCTTCCCCAGCCAGGGACGGAACCTGAGTCACTTATGTCTCCTGCATTGGCCGACAGGCTCTTCCACCACTAGTGCCGCCTGAGGAGTAGGTAATTGTTTTGAAAGGACTTTGAATGATCCTTCTTGCTTTGGCTCACTTACACCATTGTATCAGAGGTTTGACTAGGCATGCATCTGTCTCTCTATTTACAGTCTATGAGACAGTCTCTGGGGGATGGAGTCAACTGGACATCCTGATATTGGTTTCAACTGCAGTCAGGTAGAATTCTTGATCTAATCAATATCTCTGATTTTCTCTACATTGGGTCTCTGCAATTGGTTCCTCCCTTTGAAAGCAATTTTGGGTCATTTGCTCTGAGTTTAGGTAGAGAAGTTCCTACTTAGCACTGACCAACTCTATCTTAAATGCATTCAACCGATAGGCCCTCCATTATACTGGAAGGAATTCTAATCAGCCAGAGGTCAGGAAACAAAGCAGAGTAAGGGATGTTGGATGGTTTTCCAGGCAAATAAAGAGGCAGCTACTACACTGGATTGGCAAGAGCAAACAGTCAGGAGGCTGGGGACACCTGTATCAGTTTAACACTGTAGACAAGAATGTTGGAGGATTATCACTTTCCAGTATTTTGGATGAAAATGTCTTCCTGCAATCATCAACATACAATACAGAATGATAAAACCATTAAATGGTCAAAGTTATACAGCCAATAAGACACTATCCAAAGTACCTTTCAATGTATTCTTATTTACCATTACATAGTAATATTTTTATTAGTTTGGTAATAGAGTACTGTAAAGGCTTCCCTAGTGGCTCAGATGGTAAAGAATCTGCCTGCAGTAGAGGAGACCCAGGTTTGATCCTGGGTTTGATCCCCTGGAGAAGGAAATGAAATAGACCTGTTAGAGATAATGTTATATATTTTTAATAGCTCTCTCAGATTCCACTGGAATTTAGGAAACAATTTTGAAGAGGTGCATCCAAAGAGAAATCATTACTGATTCTCATATGAAGATAATATTTTTTTCCTTTGACTTTTGCATCTCCTTGACATTGACAATGTGACTAATATATCTGGTGGTATGAGAAATCCGCAAGGCAATGACATCACAATATGTAATTTTTCCCTTGTGTACTCAGGAAAAGTCAAAGTTCTCTTGTACACTTAAAGAATCAAAAGGCCTAATTTGAAATTGGAATGGTATCCAAAATAAACAAGTTGTAATGTTCTCTTTCCCCCTAAACCCAACCTTTTCCCCTGTAGTTTTAAAGTTTGGAATTATGCTGTCATAATAGTCTGACTTTCATTTTTAATTAGTCAATGATTTAAAAAAGAAAGAATGAAAGAAGAACTTTGCTGTGCATTAAAATCATTGATGTGTGGTTTTCTTTGGGTTCTGGTGTTTGAAGTGCCTTGTACTGACTTTTTTGTTGCCAGCAACTGAAATACCTACTAATGCTTTCTGGCTCTAAAAGAATTGCAAAGCATTGGCTACATATGTTTACCATTATCCACAGAACCGTCAGACCCTTTATTCTAGTGGAGGCATGCATGGAAATAGGCCAGAACGCGAGGGAACACAGTTCCGGTAGTGAAATTAGCAACTGGACAACATTCCCAGGGAAGTGGCTGAGTTCAGTTCTGGCAGAAATCCCACTGCTGCTGGTACAAAAAAAAAGAAGAAAAAGAAAGGAAATACAAAGGGTAAAATTTATCTGGGGGAACTAAAGGAGGTAAAAGCATATGATTTGTACAACGTATCAAAAAATAATCCTAATGATACTTTCCAGTTACTCTAAAATTTTGGTTATTGGGTGACTTCTGATTTTGAAATGGCAAAATGTTTTTATGAACCTGGATTATGCACGAAGGTTTAACACTTAAGACTGGCAATCTTTCGACCTTTGAAGAGAATTTTAAGAGTTCATTCCACTATTGTGGTCACAGGATTTGAAACCATCATTATGGTTGAATTCAATTGTAGCTATTATTTTTACTTCCCCCAAGTTGTATCAATTCACCAAACTAAACATGGTTAAATGGGAAAAAAATCAATTTTTTCAATGTAATCTGTAAAATTTTGGTAGGAGTAACTTAAAACATGGATAATCATTAGATGATATGTTACCAACTTATGGCATTTATTTAATGTTCAACATAGGTTGCTAGGTAACATGAGTGCCTTTGTAAAATATTGCTGAAAATTTGAAATATCAAGGAGGGCATTTTTAATATCACAAAGCTTTCTGGGAACTAGGCAAAATCTAAAATGACTCAAATTTATATAATCATAAAAGAAAATTTACCTTGACCTTTCAGATTCAATTAACAAAACTATGTTAATCACTGTATTTATTATTTGATTTATGCTTAAAAACAATTGCTGAAATCAGCTTTATTATCCCTTAAAAGGTAAGGAAATTGAAGCATGGAGGGTCACTTAAGAATTCTTTATAGAGCTAGAATTTGAACCCAGACTTACCTGACTCTAAGCACACATTGTGGGCTCACTAAACTCATTTCTTCTTCTTTCTGGACTTCTTGTAGTACCTTGTACTTAGATGTAGTCATGTGACTCAGTTCCACACCAGTTCAGTCGCTCAGTTGTGTCCGACTCTTTGTGACCCCATGGACTGCAGCACTAGTTCTTCACATCAGGTGGCCAAAGTTCAACATACTAGATGTAAATGGAAGTGACATGTATCATTGCAAGACTGGCCCATAAAGTCCTTCATGCAAAACCGTCTTTTATGCTATTTCTCCTTCCATTGGTTGGGTGTGGTGAATGTGACAGAAGCTCAGGAAGGAAGGGACTGGGTCTCCGTTTTGCTGCTTGACGAAAGTGTCCTCTGCTAATCAGACGAATCTATCCTGGAATTTCTGTGGATGAGAAATAAACTATTGTATTTGAGCTGATATGTTAATACATTTGAGGCTTTGTTACAGCAGCAAAAGTTGCTTTGTCTGTGTATTACATATATTATAATACAGGTCTTTCTTCATACTGAAAAGACCTGGAGAAGCCCATACATAAGGGTAAGATAGCTATTATACACAGGAAAACCTTTATTATTAAAAGTTGCTTAAATAACTTTTTAAATAGGAATCCGGAAAGATCTGAACAAATAAGGAGATTATTTTAAGAGACATCAATTTAAAAAAAAAATTATCACTTAGAAAGAGCTCTCATTTTTCTAAGTTATCAACATCTCAAGAACTTGGTTTAGAATCATAAAGATATAAAATTTAACTGTTAATGGATATTTGAAAAGTAGATATACTGTAGACCAATACTATGTACACAGAGATGTTCAGTAGTTTGTTTTATTTGATAGTTTTATTTGGAAAACTCAGAAGGCAGGACGAAAGAAAAGCAAGAAGACTCAGTGTACCTAAATGAGTAATTCAATTCAGAGCAAACAAGAATCGTTTACAATTCTATAAAATTTTCAAACTCTTAGGGACATTAAGTTTTACTTCTGTAAATTCTAGTGATTAGGAATGAAATGGGACTCCTTTAAGAGTCGACAATGTGTTGAGGCTTTAGTGTAGTTATATTTGTATGAAAAAACATCTGAAATGCCTACATTTTTGTTCATGTCTTTTCTCATATGAGAAAAAAAAAACATTTAAAGAGGCCTTTGTGATGATGCTAAAGCTTTATAGGGTTGTCATTAAAATATTATATAATTTAAAACTAACTCAGTATCTGCAAGGAGAATACGGCTGTTTTGGGTGGAGCTGGAACACTGGTGCAAAGTCAGCTTCTTCTATGAGTGTCCAAATCCATGTCTGGTTTGGCCTGGCACTGATATCTGAGTATCCTGTGCTGCACCCCTGGAAGAGGAGTTCTTTAAGGATGGTAGATAAATAGTGTCAAAGTTCCAGAGAGGAGGGGTTGGAAGGTCATAAATTCTGGAACCAGAGACATCTGCCTCTTCTACATTTTAGTTGTTTAGCTTTGATTAAGGCATTGCACGTGAGTGTGTGCGTGTGTTCAATTGCTCAGTTGTGTCCAACTCTTTGCAACCCCATGACCTGTAGGCCACAAATTCAGGGATCAAACCTGCATCTCTTGTATCTCCTGCCTTGACTGGTGGATTCTTCACCACTGTGCTACCTGGCAAGACTGATTAAGGCATGAGGTATCTCGAATTTTGAGTTGTGGTTTATCTGCCAAAGGGGACAATGCTATCTACCTTGAATGGTCTTTGTGAGAATTATCAGTAATATAAAATGAGCTCCTGGCAGACAGATATAGTTGAGTAGAAGTGGTGGTGGTTGTTGAAGTACAGTCTGGTCAGAGAGCAGGGTTCAGTCTCTACGGAGGTAAGTTAATAAGACTTGGTTGGAAGGTTCCAATCTATGATCTAAGGGTCAGACTAGGGTTCTAGCTCGAGTGGGGGAAAAGACTGGGACACAAGCACATGGAAAACAGATGCTTAGTCATAAGGATGGAGTGAAGATTTCAAGGAGCATAGAGTGTCACTCCAGGATCACTAGGCTTATGACAGCATAACTGCCTCTAGAGTTTAGCCATTGGGAGGATGGGTCCTGATACAGGAACAGACACCGTAGGATTGTTTCAAGAACTTTGCAAAGCTGAGCCTTCAGGCTGTTCGATGTATAATGTGTCTGTTTGGTTTTGAGGCAGGCAGAGACAGAAAATTGTCATGGAAAGTGAGCTATGTTCCTCATTTTTGCTTTTATATCACATTCAACAATCAGCCCTTCCCAAACTTGCTTGTGATTGTGAGAAGGAATTCTTCAAATGTATAAACTTATATCATGAGACTTAAACCTCTGTGTCTTCTAAATTCTAAATAATTTATGATTCTCATTGTATTTCTCTTTGAATGAACTGGACCTGCCTTTCAGGACTGAAATGGGGAAGATGATAGCAGAAAGGTAAAGGGTAGGTTCACAGGAACAACAAAAAATATCCACACATTTATCTTTTTAAAACTCTTTTATAGATACTGAATGTGAAGTGACTGGATTGAGTATTACGCTTTATCAGTTTATAAAGACAAACATAAAACAATCCCCCTCCACTAAATGGCAATCCAACATTGTCTTCTCATTAAACTTTGTGTAAATCCCATATCCCCACTCTGTTTCGTTCCTTCCCTCCTCCTTCTTTCCTCCAACTGAAGCTCAGTCCCTCAGGACTCAGAGATGTAAGGTGATGCTATTCAGTATGAAGAGAGCTACAAGAGGAGGCAGAGAAACGTGCACAAAGGCTATGAGAACAGAGGAGAGCGGTTCTAACTCTTCCACAGGGAATCAAAGTTTGCGGCAGGAGCTGTTCCTGAAAAATATTCCAGGTCTGGCCAAATGAGGAGCAGGAGGACTGCTCAGATGCTGGTCAACCATGAAGAATTTCCTGCTGCCGCCCTAGACCCACACTCAGTCATGGGTAGACAGCAGGGCGCAGGGACGGCCCCTAGAGACAGCCACTCCCAAGGCTCCCTTGCTCCAGTGAAAGGGAGGGAAGATGCAGGGATGGGCGTCTGTAACTGGAGGAACCCTGACTCCCGAGGTTGGCTTTCACTGCAGGCCTCCTAAGGTTGGATATGGATATGATTAGGGTCTGCAATAAGTGACATCTGTTTGCTCTGACCTTTGGGTAATGTGGCGTTTCTTTCTCTGGGGCAGATGCTAGAAAGGTGTTTATTGTGAGTTGACAGGGGTCTTGGTGGGTGGTGAGGTGTGAGTCAAAATTCTACTATGCATTTTGGCATTTTGTCTACAGATGTTTCTCAGATGTTTGTGGGCGGGCATGTCCTTAAAGAAATACTAAATGTATGTTTTTGTGTGTGGAGGAGAGGAAAAAACTTGTACTTAAAACCTTGGCCCTTTTATGCCTGCCATGACACTCCTGTTTCATGGCCAGACTGGAACTAGTCATTGCATGTATTTTCTGAAGAGAAAATTTGCTCATTTAAAGAAAAATCTTCTGTCAGTTTGATATTAACATGCTGATGAACAAGCTAAATATGGCATTGGGGGAAGAATGGAAGATTTCAGAAAGTACCAGGTACTCGTTTTATGTTGTCCAGCCTTGCTTCATCACCCCAGTGTGTCATCCCACTACATAAGACAGGACACAGGAAGCCTCTGGTGAGGCTCATTCCTAACTCCAAATTTCCACTGCAGTGAGAGTTAGTCTTCAAAATTCACAATCTATCCCCATTTATGATACCATGGAAGTCACACCTTCTAGTCCAGATGCCAAGATGCTGACTTGATAATACTGGAGAAAGAGAGAGAGAAAGAAAGGTGAACTTGAAGGATATTCAACTTTTAATACCTTTAGAATTACCATAAAATATATTTTAAAAAAGGTTTGCAAAGAAATGAGGAAAATCAAACCACATTTTTGAAATTGTCTTCTTTTTTCCTACTTAGAAAAGAAAACTAAACCCCCAAAAAAATCCCATTTTGGTTTTGATTTCCAGAAATCTTCTGAAGTTCTAAAGAAATCTAGCTTTAGCTTAGTTTGAGAAAATCTACTTGAAAAACTTCACAAATGGATGAAAGAAATTCCTTACAGAGTTAATTAATCTGATTAGCAAATAAATGGAAAAATAGTGATGACGGGCTATGCCTGGAAACCAAGAGCTTAAACATTACATAGAGTTTTCCTGCTTTGTATCGAAACTTCTTGAAATAATGTTTTTGACAGATGCTCACTTTGACCTCCACTTGTTAGCAGTTATGTGGAATTTACCCTCTCCCCCACACCAAAAAAAGGTTATTTTCAAAATAAGTTTGTTGTATATGGTTAAATAGACCAACTTTTTCAGCTTAATTTCACCTAAAATTCTAAACCTTAATGACTATCTTGATGAGCAGGAAATATATTATCAAATGTTGCTTTAAAAAAAAGATAGCTAATGAATGATTATCAGGATAGTTCTTTGCTAACAAAATAATAAGACTTGTTACATTTGTTAGTGACTTTGTTCTGAATATAAATCTTGCTTTTTTTTAACTCAGCCACCATTTAGATCTATGCTCTAGGTCATCTACAGAAACGAAACAGGGAAATAGGAAATGTGGAAACCCATACAATTTCTTACAGTCTTGATTTCCTTCTCCCAAATTAGGATAGTGTGTTTCAACAAATCTGGAGACTAGGATTACCTTTAAGTATTTGAGTACACGATTTCTTCAGACTCACAGATTTATAGAACGGACCTATGGTTGCTGGGGAGACGGAAGAATGGGGGGAAAGGGTAGATAGGGATTTTGGGATGTACGTGTACACACTGCTATATTTACAACGGATGACCAGCAAGGACTTAGTATATAGCACAGGAAACTGCTCAATGTTTTGTGGCAGCCTGGAGGGGAGGGAAATTTGGGGGAGAGTGGGTACATGTATATGTATATGTATGGCTGAGTCCCTTTGCTGTCCAACTGAAACTATCACAACATTGTCAATCGGCTATACTCTAATACAAAAAAAGTTTAAAAGAAAAAACTGCACTATTTCTTCACTTCAACTCATTGGTACGCTAATGACTGAGTGTGGTTATCAACGTTTTACGGAAAGTGGGCCTGTCTCCGCTGACATTTGGGTTCATCACAGAGCCTGGGTGTAGCCACTCAGTAATTATTGCTCAGTCAGAAAATCACATGCTATTTCCTGTATTCCTTATCTTCTCAGTCTGACCCTACTTCCTCCATCCTTTTCCCTACTCCTCAATTACATGGAGGGGGAAATGATGGTAAATACAGCTCTATTTTTAATCTTATGCAAAAAATGTTCAGCCAAAGGTCCCAGAACTCTAATACTTTGGCCACCCGATGTGAAGAACTGCTTCGTTGGAAAAGACGCTGATGCTGGGAAAGACTGAAGGCAAGAGAAGGGG